CATGGTTCCATTTGGCATGTGTGAATTCATGGTTGGTAACTGAACATAAGACTCGTTCACTACTGCTAGTGTTCTGAACTGGATTGCTATAAGTATTGATGCTTACATGCTACAATTAATCAATTTTCACCAGGAATTTGTTTTCACAAATTGACTGATGGTGAATGTGGGGAGACATGATGTGGAACATATATGGAGATATGAGGTAGGTGAGACTGTTGTATAGCACAAGATAGATCTGTATAAGCCACCTGTAATCAGACTACGTTTTGACAAGCACTTCCAGACATCAATTAATAGGAAGAGTCGCAGTGATGCAGTGGTTAGAATGTGGTTACAATCTGGCTGTTCAAATCTCACCAGGGTCAAGGTTGACTCAGCCTTCCATCCTTCTGAGGTTGGTAAAATGAGGACCCAGTTTGTTGAGGGCAATAGGCTGTAAACCACTCAGAGAGGACTGTAAAGCACTGTGAAGCGGTACATAAGTCTAAATGTTATTGCTGATGCAATTAAATGACTGCCTGCTCCTAGGGTCTCTAGACAGCTTATAAAAATCCAAAATAACAATAAAATAGTTAAATCCATAAACTATCACAAAGAGATCAGACTAACACAACCATGACAGTAACAAACAGCTATAACAGGGGGACTTATAAACAAATTAACCGTAGACCAATCTTAAAGAGCTTTCTGGAATCCCAGGAGAGAGGTTTCCATCTGTACCTCTGGATTGGATTGCTGTTTCAAAAGGTGGGGACCCTGACAGAAAAAGCATACTTCCTCAGTCCCATTACAGCTTTAATAGATGCGGCCTGGAGTTGTAATATCTTTGATCTATGGATATAGGTCAGTTGCACTAAGTGCTTCAGAGTCCCCTCTAGTACAAGAGAATATAACTTTTTTTTTTCAAATAATAAATCTAAACTAAACAGTTATTAAATATATTAAATTAGATGTTCAAAAATAAAGAAAAGCATGGAATAATCGTCTGGAGATTCCAAGCATGAAAATAAGTAGGAAACCATTTTGGCATCTGATGTCAAATTTGTTTAAATTTAAAATTAATTGCAGAAATTAAAAATTAATTCAACAAAAAGAATAAGGGGACTTTTTACTCAAAATACAACATGAGAAGTGATCCTGTAGTATAGGAGCATTTTTTGAAGTTATTTAAACATTAATTTTATTTTGGGTTTTCATAATGAGCCAATTCTTTTAAATTATATTCCAGTGAGCAAAGTCGTAAAGTTGTAATTGACCTAACCAGATCAATTATAAAACTTTTTCCCTCTTTCCCTTTTTTATATGTAAAATAAGTGAAACTGAAGCAATGTACATGTGTATTAATTTCTTTTACTTAATGAAGATAGAAGATTAAGAGGAAGGTTGAGAATTGGAGGCAAAGGCTGTGCTGTAAACAGTCTTGCTGCATTGTTCAAGAATCCGGTTGCATTCTTGAAGCAATATCTAAACACAGACAATCTTTAATGTCCTTGGCTCTAACTCCTTTACATGCTGTCTTATATTCCCACTTTGTATTTAAACAAAGCCAAAATGTCCCCCCAATACTTTGAAACCATACTATAACAATAAATTCTGTATGTATATATGTATATGAACTTCAAAGCAAACTATATTCTTCTGTCAAGACCCATCTTTCCTATATACTTTCGTGTTTGTTTTTAAAAATGTTAATATATACTACTGTTCACTGAAATAATTATTAAGGCAGTTGCTAAACAATACACAGTAATTCACACATAACAAGTGAAAAATGGGCTAAGTAGTCTTAATTTGCAGCATATATTCAGAATTCAGCCTTTATACATGAAAGAAAAATTATACACTTATAGTTTCAAATAACTTGTGAAGCAGACAATATAACATAGAAAAAAGAATTCAAGTTATCACAACAGACAATAATTTATTAATAAAAGGAAATAGGGCAATAAATGTGGTGAGAAGGAGAAATCTGTTAGATTATATTCAAAGACAAGCAGTTGTCTTTAAGCTAAGTGTTTTTTGGCCAAGGACAGAGAACACATATTCATATGAATCCATGACTAAGCCATTTATTTATTGCTAGTTGAAGACTGAGCTCCTTATTGTAGATGTATGGACATGTACCACAATGATTGTCATCATAACTCAACCTTAAAGTCATGTCTGAATGGAAGTGTTCTAAATGCAAATTGTCTAAGATAGATGCAATAAGGAAGTGAGTCTAAATTTAGTTCCTATATTTTTAGCTAGAGAATTCTAATCAACAAGCAAAAAGGTATAGAAGAGGAATGCGTTTCTTAATTAACCTAAAAAGCACATATTGATGCATGAATCCGGTGTTTAGCAATAGTGATCAGAAACATTAAAGATATTATAATACTACTCTAAGTTGAAATGCTGGTACAGTTTTTCACTAAGAAGCACTAAGACAAAAACAGAAACATACTTGTATATCCCTCCAAAAGTTGTATTTGAACTCTAAAGAGGAATTAAATTTAACTGTCCTGTCAAATGGAACATTAGTCTAACAGCATCTTCATCTGAACTGAAAATTAGTCTCCAGATATAAGGTTGATTGCTAGGTTGGTTGTAACAAAAGGATGAAACATATTCTAAATGGGTATTTTTTTCTCCTCGGGAAGCACCCAGTAAACTACTGGATGAACTAGTCTTACTTGCTTTTGAAAATGCCAACTCAATTTTTCTTAGATTCTCTTTCTCCGGGACAATCACACATCTGAGTTCACTTAAAGAGTGTAGCTGAATTTGGGCACACTGTGACTGATTGTCTGTGGAATGCAGCACTCTAGATATTAGGCAGAAGGCACTGTTTTCCTTTATAAGACCAATATGAGTATTAGTAAGGATCAGGGATCTGATATCACCTGCTAGTTTCACTGTTGTATAGAGCACTACCTGAATGTCACCTAAAAAAGGTTTGTTGATGTCCATGTTTTCATGGAGTAAATAAAGCAGGTCAGCTAAGTCACTCTCAAAATTGCATGATAGGCACACGCTATTTTCCAAAATTAAGTTGGTGACTGCTGAAGTCCAATCAACAGAAAGTTTTAACAGATCATCATTTAAGAGTGGGTGATTTAAGCAAGCACGATCTAATGGAGATATAGTACTAATTATATCATGGCATATTCTTTGTGTAAAGTATTTGTTAAAGGTGAATAGTTTCATGACATTGTCTACATGGAGACCTAAAAGCGTAAGGCTTTGTCCAGCATAACCAATTTGGATTTCTTTTAAAGTATTGATTGAGAAAACATGAAAAATATCCAAAGAGTTCTGATTGCTTTCTAACTGATTGGTTGATGGAATAATGGAATATAAAACAGAATCATATAAAAGCAAGCAAGCAGGCTCCGGTCCAGATTTTTTATAGTTTCCCACTGCAATCCAGTATATTCCTTTTAATTTGTTTGTCTTGGCACAAATTTCTGGCAAGACAGACGTCAAGTATTGTAGCAGTTCTTCTAAAGAATATTCTTGCAATTTCAGAAGATCCTCTGAAAAGTCCATAAAGTTTTGCCTAAGCACCAGGCTACTAATCAATGTATCATTTCTGCAAAGATTACTAGATTCTACAGCATGATTTACTGTATTCATATCAAATGAGATTTGTGATGATAAGTAATTCATGGTATCTTCCTTTCCTAATGGCTTACTTGGGCTAAGGCTTGCACTATTTACCTTCAAAGCTAAATTCAGATTTGGTTGTACATCTTTAATAACTGCACAGTTCTTGATAAATGAGGTCAGTTGTGTGCATTTCTCATTTTTGTGATAGACACTGACTAGATCTTTGATCCATTTAGAAAACCAACCATTTGTGAATTCTTGACAAATGAAACCATGATAAGAATTGCAGAATAAGTTAAATAGATGTCCCAGCCCATAATTCTGCTTTGATCCAAAAAACGATTTAGGTAGTTGTCTTTTGATTTCATTTGTTGCTTTTTCATCCAAAGTCTGGTCTGAAATCGGCTGATTTATTTGAGAAATTCTGTTACAGTATTGTTGGAGAGACCAAAAATGGGATGCACCAGGCTGACCTTCAGAAGAAAATGAATCAAATTCTGTTTCCATGTTCCTATGTTCCCAAAGATTACCAAGACAACTTTTGTTTCCAGAGTGAAGAAATGTTGATTGTTTACCTAATAAATCAAACATTCTAGATCTGTCAGAAAGTGATTTTGGGGGACTGTCAGAGCATGTTCTCTTGCTTTTAATGTCTTTGGGGTGATTCCAGCCACATCCATCAGGATACCTCCAGCTGACATACTCTTGTTCGATCTCTTTCCTTTGATTTGTATTTTCTTGAGTCATGCCAAGATCCTGAATTGTCCTTGAGAAAGGATTAAATGTTCCTATGTCTTTGTCCTGTCTACTGATTCTTGATACCCTTGTGTCTTCTCCAGCCTGATTATATTTGCTGCCATCATTAGACAATGTCAGAAAGCCATGAAAGGACATCCAAGGCTCTCTTTTCTGTTTAAAATGTAAAAAAAAAAGTGCTTTTGTATATTTAATAGAAAAGTAACTCAAATTTAAATTTCTAGAGGTGATTTTATCATTGTATGCATGTTTGTATTAAATAGCAAAAATCAAATTATGTTGAACAAGATCTGATTCAAAAAGCAAAGCCATGATTCTTCTTTTCCATCATCTTGCGTTTAGAACAGTATCCATTTCTTTTCTGTAGGATGACTCAACACCCTTAAATCAGCAAGAGCCTTCCAAATGACCTTATGAATCAAGTCTGTATCCTATAATTCCAAATTTTTAGAAATAATTAGGAAAATATTTTGGTCAATATTTACTTCATTTTAATTTGGAATAGGGCACATGAAATCCATTGGCAAGAAACTGATTATGTTTTTTTGTAAGTAAGGATGACAGCATTGTGTGAATATACTTTTGCTTGCACCATGAGACTTTTTCTTCGTCCTTTCCCACTGTAGCATGCTGAGCTCCATTCCACTCTGGTGATTTTGAAGGCAGGTGGGAAATTGCAAATCATTCCCCTCATCTGTTAAACAGATATGCTGCTAGCAGGAAAAAAAATCGACAATACTGAACATAATATTTCTGCGTTATATTCTAAATCAGTTGTCTTGCTGAACTTGTCTTGCTTTCAGGTTCAAATCTCTTGATTAGAACAATGACCTCTCTCTCAATCCATGAGTATAATTTATATTTGGTAATTTTCTGTGCAGTATTGCTAGTTTGTAATTAGTTATTTCTGGCAATAAACTTAGTTCCGATCTGAAAACATTTGAAAGGGATACTGTTGTAGCGTCAATGTTAATACATTATTACCACAATCACAACTACCCAAATCTTTACCATATTAGAAGATTTAATTTTAAGGCTTGTCCTACCGCCGCCATTAATCTTGCTGGAATACAGAATTATAATTATGCTGTGAAATGTTAAGAAATTTACTTAGAGAGCATGCCATAATTTAATATTAGCACTTCTTCAAGCTGACAAGCTATAACTTACTTCATACTTCAACTTGCGTTGAGCAGCACCATTATGAAACCTCTTGTTATCCTGAAAAGCAAAATGTCCAATTTTTAAAAAAAGTTGCACACAAAGGAAGATAACAAATAGCTCAGTTCACTTGTATATTAGCAATAAAAGGCAATTTCAACCTAAAATGGGAACAATAAAGTAGACTTAAAATAGAATTAGGAGAAAATACACTAGCTACCTAATAAATTCAATTTCTAATGTTTAATAATTTGAATTGTAATATGATCTGTCATATACAGATAGACTATTTGTTAAATGATCATTTGAAGTTATGATGGTGGTGGAAAAAGTAACAGGGCTGATCCTCACATTTACAACCGTCAGAGGATCCCAACAGTCAAGGGATCCAAATTCACGTGCTTGGCAACCAACATGTATTTATGACATTTGCAGTATCCTAGGGTTACATGATTGCAATTTGCAACTTCCCACGGGGACGCCGAAGTCACTGGGGAAAACCAGATTTGCGTAACAACCAAATGATTTTAATGACTGTGTGATTAATTTAATAATCACTCTGATTCACTTATTGACAGCAAAAGAAAACATTGTAAAATGAAGTATGAATCCTATATCGACTACATTATTTAGCAACATTATTTAGCAGCATAGGTTCTGCTCCCAACTGTGGTTGTAAGTCAAGGACTAGCAGTATTTTAAAATGCCTAGGAGGTCTCCAAAATACAAAACAACACATAATTATTCTATTATATTTATAAGTTAAATATTTAACATCATCGTAGGAGGTTCCTTTATTTGGCTTAACAGGAAGATGGAAATGTATCACAAGACAATTACATATTTCAGTTTACTAGTCATGGCCTTTAGCATGTGAAAAAGAAAACAGAAAAACTCAAATGAGGTATGCAGGACTGCAAGTATACCACAGATAGTCCTAAATTAGAAGGATGTGTAAATATATGCTGACTTCAGCACAATCCAATTTAGAGGAAGATACTTACTCATAAATCTTGGCAATGATATGCTGGGGAGGGCATATTATTCAAAATAACAATTAACTAGTTAGTACGTGTTGTGGGTGAATGGAATTGGAAAGATCCATGAAAATGAGTAATAACCTTCTAAATATTAAAACTGAATGCTGATCATACATTCAGATTGGCAACAGGTTGGTAAATTCATTTCATTAGCCCTGGCCCCATCTTACAATCATTAGTATATGAGGCCGCTCCACTGGTACTGCACTCCCAGACTATGCATGTTCCTATTTTCTCAGTCTCATGTAATTGGGGCCCAGTGTTTTAGCAGTATATTTATTGCTTCACATTGACATTTAGCTATATATTAGCTAATATTATTTATAATCAAGCCTTTCCTGGCTGCTATTAGAAGAGAAGGCTCACAGGTCAGTCATTCCTGGATACACTACTTCAATTACTACTGTATGTTCAGTGTCAAACCTAAGAAATCTGTAAAGAGGCAATCTAGGCAATTGCAAATTGTAAAATGCAAGAAGCAAGGTTCAATTTATACATCTCTTTCTTCTGTCAATGTACATAACGGTCTTGGAGCCTCACACTTTTGGGAGAAGGTGAGGGTAACTATCACAGCGCACGCACACACACACACACACACACACATACACACCTGTGCTTCATGATGAACTATGTGATCGGACTATGAGGAGAAATTTGGTTCACAAGCCGTTGGCTCAGTGGTGGTCAGTGATTGAAACAGATAGGGGTTTCTTTTCTTTTCCTTTCTTTTCCTTTCCTTCTTTCCTCCTTTCCGTTCATTTCTTTTCTTTCTTTCTTTCTTTCCTCCTTTCCCTTCCCTTCCTTTCCTACTTTCCCTTCCCTTCCTTTCCTACTTTCCCTTCCCTTCCTCCTTTCCTTTCTCCTCTCCATCATCTGTCTGTCTGTCTGTCTGTCATCTATTCAGCAAAAGAGTTGTAAAATGCAATCCTCCAACTGTTGTCCCAAAGATGCTTTTTTTCAGGAGCTAACTGGGCTTTCTGGTTTTTCTTTGAAGATGCTTTGCTTCTCATCCAAGGAGCTTCTTCAGCTCTGACCGGATGGTGGATAACAAAAAAATACTACAACCTTTGATGCCAAAGTAGCTTCCTGTTTGGAAGTGTAGTTTGCATCCTTTTAGAGAGTCGTTGAGGCAACTTGGAGGTTTGTCTGTGTCCTCAGATCACCTAAGTGGTGCAAATGGCTGGGGAGTTACTAAGGTAATGGAATATGAGGTAACAGAATATGAGGCAACTAGCAGTTGGAACAGAGTTCTTTACAGGTGGGGAGGGGAAGTAGAACTCCTTAGCATCAGAGCGTGTTAATTACTGTATTAAGACATACTAATGATCTGAGGGTCATTTCGAAAAACCCTTTCTTAGCGAGCACCTAGAAGCCAAGAGGAACATACATGCCAAATTTCAAGTTTGTAGGCTTTACGATTCTGGAGATTTTGTGATGCTGAGTGAGTGGTATTTCGTGTTATGTGTATGTGTATGTATGTATGTATGTATGTATGTATGTGTATATATACACAAACATACACATATGCATATATGCACATACATACATACATACATACATACATACATACATACATACATACAAACATTTCTTAGATTTTCAGAGATCAGATAGCATAAGCTATATTAAAATAGGTTTTCAAGACCAAATTGAGAATAGGTATATTCCCTATTCAAACACACATACAAACACAGACACCACACACAAAATTTAATCTTTAGTATACGAAGTAAAAATCAAGAAATGATCTTAATATTTATAAATTGTATGGATTTTGACAGTATGAAGCATTACTGTTATTGTCATCATCAAGATAACATTATGTTCATCATCAATTGTGACAACATGTTTCATTTATGAGGAGTAATTTTGCTTCCTTACATTATGTTAGAAGACATTAACTCTCTGAAGAAAATGCAGGAAGTGATTTTAAATTTCATTACCCACAATTGTATTTTCTTACCCTCATGCTTTCTGTAGATTGTAAGGGACTGATATTGTTTTCTCCAGAGCTGTACTGAATATTTTGAAGACGTCTTTGAACTTCTTCTTCAATAAAGATATTTATTCTAGAAATGTTAAACATCACAGATTAACAGGAAACAATTCATTAGGAAAGGATCTTTGGAATGCTGCTATTCTGGGTAATGTAGAATATAGAACCAAAGAATCATTGTACTATTTATTTATTTTCATCAACCAGATATTGATCTCAATGGCTTTTGGTATTTAGGAATAGGACATGACGATTGTAGTTTAATAACTAGCAGATTTATAGCATTAATATATTGCTACCTGCTTTAGATAGGCTATAAAACCCATGATATCTCTAAAACTACAGAAAAAAACTTTAAGCTTGTAAACAGCTTAAGTTTACAACAATTATTAATGGTACTCAGCAAAAAAAATGGTAAGTCAATTCCCATAGTAGGTTAACGCATACAGTGAGAGCAGTCAATACCAATCCTCCATTAAAATTCAAAAGGGGATTTACTACTGTATTGTTTTCAACAGCAACAAGACTGCAGGCAATACAGATTCCCACTGTGAGATTTACTCATTTATAATAAAAAGAGAGCTTGATAGAGAGAAGGAAGGGATATATAGTATGTGTGGATCATTTTTATAAAAAACCCTCAAGTGATGGAAAGGTTTAGCTCTTTATTTATTAGGGGATATTTCACATGCCCTTAATTACATGGTTCTCAAATTGTACGTTATAATCCACTGGGAAGGCTGTATGTCACTTTGAGATTGCAAGTTTCTCGGTGACCATAGGGTTGAAAAGTGGGTGAACAACATTATCTGCAGAGCTCTGGCTCTTGAGAAAGAAACAAACCAAGGAGAACAAATGGCAACAGGAAAGGAAGACACAGTCTGCTTGCATTTGTCCAGAAGATTTTATTCAAAATAAAAAATAAAGATGGAGCCAGAGTCACCCAAAACATTAAACCCAAGCAAATAATACATGCAAGTAGGTTGTTTGTCCTGTTATATGAATGTTGCCAAGGGGAAAATTCAGTGCCTGTACTATTAGGGGGCTACAAAACATGTATGGTGAGCAGGCAGGCAGGCAGAGTCACATTTCCCAAGTGTTGGGGGGGAAAAGATGATCAGAAAATTGTACAAGTCCCTGGGCACAATTTCAAATGTTTCTGCTCAAATCCAGTTCAAAAGTTTCTTTGAAAAGCATTTCAAATTTTTAAAGCCAATCAGCCATATTATTGTGTTTATAACCATTCTAGGAATAATATTTTAATAATCTAAAAATACTTTAGAATTAAATGTAGTTACAATCTGTTGAAAACTGGATATACTTACCTGTCATCAACCAATGGCATAAAAGATTGAGATTTGGAAATGTTAGAAGGGGAACTATTATGAGTCAGCCTCTCTTCTACAGCTCCAGGATATCCCTTTTCAACTCTATCACCTTCATATATCTTCTGTTTTAACTGCTGTATTTGCAAGTCCAAACTGTCAAGAAAATTCAACATATATTGTTTAAGATTCTTCAATACAGTAGGATTTCTCAAACTTAGCTGTGAAATTAGGGGGTTATATAACACAGTCCTTACTACAAATAAAATGAGTTGGGTAGGAAAGGTGCCACCAGACAAAAATAAATTGCCTGTATAATGCTAATACTGCCTTAAGCAGATAAAAAAATTTTGTGTTACTTTTAGTGTATTGTTTCAAAGCATGTTTAAGTATAAATTGACAGAAACAAGACTAGAGCCAATACAAATAAATTAGAATATTACCAGATGAGAACATTTCTTCAATACATAAATATATTAACAACAGGTATTTAAACTGCTTAAATATCAAATAATTATTTGTCAACAGGAAGCTACATTTGGATATGAATATGTTAGTTACACTAACAATTAGTAGCAACTTTCAAAGGAAATATCATTAGTAACATCCATCAAATTTGCTTTATTTTAGAACGTAAATCATGATTTCAATCATTTTACAGGAACTAGCAAAAGTCAAATTATGGTATTTAAATTACAGATGTAATTTAAAACCATGTTTAAAGTATTTCAACTACTGGGGAATGTAGTTGTTTTTACATATATCTGAAAGTCTATTGTCAACTGATGCTTCATTGAAATCTACCATAAAATTGTACTTTATGTATTGTTAAGTAAAAAAAATAATATTTGATTTGGAAGTCTAACTTTCAGGATTTTCAATATTTGTTTCAAATATATACTATCTCATATTTGCAACAGTGCAAAACAAAATAATATGCACACCTTACTGCATATGACGCGCACAAACAATCGTTTCAAACCTGCACTAAAATATAGTAAGGATTTTTTTTTTTAATACAAAACCTTTTTTTGAATTTGGCTTTTTCAGTTCCATCAAGCTACCAAAGAATATTTGCAAGAATATGCTTTCTACAAAAATGATTTTATTCATTATTCAGGTATGAATATTCAACCTCGGAGATAAAGATTGGGTCACTCTTTCTTTTCTGTAGAATAGCCACATTTACATAAATCGTTTTCCACATAAGTCCACTTTTCCTCAAAGTACTCAAAATATGAATAGATTTTGTTGTATAATATTTCAGGGCTTTAGATATTTCCCCAAAAGGATTGGGGGGGGGGGGGGGGAGAACCCTCTTCAAAAGAACTTAATGGTTTTGTGAACAAAGGAGAAGCCAAGAAACTGAATTAAAAATGTTTGAGGGCAAAACTATACACGACCTTGGAAATATTATTATATTTAACGTGTTTGATTGTAAAATATAAATGGGGTGAGGGAGATTTTTCTTCCTTGGATGCAGTTACATAGGAAGCAATACTGCATTGCTTTATTGACCCAACAACCTCTAGAGAAGACAATTACAATAAAATCAGGATACTTCCATTGATATTGCAGCACTAAAACTATTTTCATTGAAACTACAGGGAATGTGAATATGTGCCTGCGTAATACATTCAGGGCAAAATTGATCCTTCTTACTTTTCTCGGTCTTGTTCCAGGGCCTTTTGCTGGGCCTCCACTGTTGCTTGCAAGCCTGTCTGTTCCCTACAACTGTTGTTCAAAGTTGCAAGTTTCTGCTTTTGCTCCTCGATTTCTAGGGTAGAATGGCGCTGTAAAGCAGAGTGCCGCCTTTCCAGCTTAGCAACTGCTTGTTCCAGTGCCTCCCGCTGCTGTTTTTGCCTTGATTCAAGAATTTCTTTCTCTTTTTTCCAAACCTTTTCTTCTTGACGAGCTACGTTGGCCGTGAATTCAAACGTTTCTTGAAGCTGCTGAAGCTCACTGGCACTGGCTCTGTATTGGGCAAGCTGTTCTTCTTTTTCTTCCATTTCTTTTTCAACCTCATAAAGTGTATTGTCCAAGCTTTGCAAGCCTCTGTCTAAAACTTCAGAAGCTCTTTGTTTTTCTTCCAGTAAAGCTGGCAAATGATTATTAATGAGATACAGAAGTTGTCGTTCTTTATGGTGCAACCTATATTCACACGATCTTATTTTGTTACATTCTTCCACAGCTAATGCAGCATCTGGTGTGTCTTTGTCGAAATTTAAATGCTCTGTGTGTACCTGTTTTAAATAATCCAGATTTTCTTGTTCTTCGATCATCTGTTTTTCTAGATGATTTCTTTCTTGAACTAAATCTCTTTCTAAGCCAGTTAATTGTCCTAGCTGTTTTCTCTTAAAATCCATGAAGTTACACTGTACTTTTTCTAACTCTTCACAATCCTCCTCTGCTTCAGATCTGGCTTCTTTGACTCGCAAGAGAGATTCTCTGATGTCTTCCAGGTTCTTCTTCTCTTCTTCAATTCGTTGCAGATTCCCTCTTTTTAGCAGCTGTATCATGATTTGTTTGTCTCTAAGCTGTTCTTCTAGATTTGCCACCAACAATGCCTGTTCTTTCTCCTGAGCTTCCAATCTCTTTTTCTCCACTTCCAATTTTAAATACTGGTCTTCTTTTTCCTTTTTAAGCTTTTCCAGTTCGTGAAAAATCTGCATTTTCTCTGCTTTTTCATTTTGATTAAGCTCTTGTAATAGCTGAAGTTCTTCTTTAATGCTACCAAAAATTTCTTCTTCTTGTTTCTTTTTCTGAAGCTCTATTTCTTGCTGTTCCCGTAATCTTTCCTCTTCAAATTTTTCCTTTTCTGCCAATAAATCTTTCATCCTATTTTCTATGTGAAAGCTTCTCTTCTTAAGATTCTCCTCTTGTTTTCGGATTTCCAGCTGAACTATTTCAGTTTCTTTACGTTGTGATTCTACCTCTTGTTGCATTCTTTCTAATTCAGCCTTGTTAGTTTTTTGTTTCTCCTCCATTTCTTCTATGAGTTTCCTAAAATATTTTAATGAGAGAGATGTTATTTATCTAAAGATATAACTAATGACTATTACCTGAAAATATAACTGACTTATATTCGAAGAATTACACTGGAGAATTATATTTCTCAATGGAATTATTGAGGAGCAACCCTTGATAATTAAAACTATATATTTCATCTTTGACTCTAGATAAGGTGGCACTTCTGTAGACTAAGCTGGTACACAATTTGGGAGGCCTCTTGGACTCATAGCTCCTGCTTGAGAAACAGGTAGTAGCTGAGGATACGTGGGCGGGTGGGGCTTTGCACAGATTCATCCAGTGCACCAACTGCATCCTTTCCTGGACTGGGAGGCCTTGCTCATAGTCATTCATACCTTGGACACCTCCCGTTTAGATTTCTGAAGTGCATTTGGGGCTGTCCTTGAAGATCACCAGGAAACTATAATTGGTTTAAAATGCAGCAGTATGTATGATGATGGGGGGGGGGGTGTCTTAGGTTTGTCCATGTAGCACCTATGTGGTGAGAGCTGCACCAGCTTCCAGTTTCTTTTGGGATGAAATTCAAGATGCTGGTCATCATCTTTAAAGCCCTATATGCTACGGAGCTATGTTATCTGCAGGACAGTCTTATCTACCTGTCCCCTCTAGGTCAGATAGAACAAGCACCTCTTAGTAATACAGACATCTTATGGGAGGAAGGAAGTGTGTCTTTCTCATGGCAGCCCTTTCATTTGTCCGCTTGAAGTTTGGCAGATCTTTATCTCCCTAACCTTCCATAAAGCTCCAAAGGGCTGGGATGAGGTGACCATATTGGAAGCTTGACTTGGTTTTTTTTTAAATGTGATTGATTTTTGATTTAATATGGTTTTATATTGTTTTATTTTTTTGATGGGAGCTGCCTAGAATTTGTTATAAGATGGATGGCTATATAAATGTTTTAAATAAATAAGTTTTATATATAACATTTTACACATTAATGTAGAAAATGCCATAATACTTATGACATATTTTAAAACCTTTATTATGAATGTTCAGGAAAATATACATAGGGCAATGTTTTGTTTTATCAGCAGAAACAATCCTATGTAGAATTTAATTCAGAATGCTTCCAATATTCTCTATACTGCCTTTTCTTTCTATGATTTTTATCCAAATAAAGTCTCCCTCAAATAGAATTCATGTTCTGGTGATTTTACCAATATCCCTGGTTTTTTTTTTTTTTTTGCAATAAAATTACAATGAGTTGCCAATGCATTTGTCCGCAACCTTCTTTTTCAAACTTTCCAGTTTAGCCTAGAATATTGATTTTGTTGTTGTTGTTGCTGTGTATGGAAAAATTTTTGGACTACACAGAAAACAGACCCTTGATTTAAAAAAAAATCCCTGGAAAAAGGTGTAGGAGACTTGTGGGAGACTTTTGCAGTATCTGTGAATTTTGAAAAAGGGATCAACATCTGCAAAGTTAACAGGTACAGCATAGGCATGTGTAAAAAGAGTGGACTTGGATCACACTTCCATGGCTGCCATTGCACATTTTGATCCCATTCCATGACTGAATAAATAATATGCTCATGTGTTTTTAAATAAATATTAAACATATTAATATATATGGGATACAAAATTATGGGAATGAAAGTTACATATCCCTGAAGCAATATTTTCTGTAGATTTAGTCTCTATCATATAATTATGTTCTCATAATTGATTTTCTACTGCGATCATAGAAGTACCATTGTCCTAATGGAATTATGCTATCTTTGTTCTTCATAAAATATAGTTAAAATTTTCTTGTGCTCAAAGAGCAAAATATCAAATGTATTACAACTCAATTAAATAAAAATAAAATGATGGGAGGAAGTCCAAGGAAAGTAATAGAATTACAGACTTTGCAAAAATCAGGCAGTGTTAATATTAAGTTAAAGCCTTCTCACAGTAATTATAATCAAACAAAATTTAGCAACCCTTCTAAAGATTTCTCTAAATTGTCTGTTACCAAAATTAGACTAGTGTACTCATTTGGCCAAACATAACATGAGGTTAAAGGGTGCACAAATAAATCAAAAGTTTATGTTTGAAAGAAAGGACAGTGCGATAATATATGCAAAATGGTCCCAATTGCTCCATCAAGACAAGAGCCCAAGTAATCGTGTGTATTAAGATGCTACAGAAATCTGTTCCTATGATTATTACAAAGTTCAAATAAAATCAAATTGAATTATAATATAAATGCCATTAGATCTCTTTACAGTTAAAAGAAAACTGTTAGAAAGTTAAAAATATAGAATGAAATCTGCTTATTTTCAATCCCTAAGCTTTATCATTAAAATATTCTAGCAAAATCAAAAACTCATATCAACAATATAAATTTACAAAGAAATATTAACATAAGATACCTTTTACTTTCTAATTTTTCTAGTTCTTCTCTTTGTTGTCTCTCAAATTCTAATCTGTTGTTTTAAAAAGGAAAGAGCTACATTAATTTTTTGTAAGGGAATTTTGATGAATTATTAGAACTGCATTTCTATAATTTAATATGTTCCACAAATGAGTTTTATGTACAATCTAATTTGTAGCCATGTTAGAGAAACATTAAACATGAGAGAAGAATGATCAGCATTGATTCTACATGTTAGATCCATGCAAGTAAAGCACTCAATATAAAAAAAATATTTTTTTTCTACCTTAAAAAGACTGGTCCTTTTATAGGGAAAAGGCTGCCAGAAGATGTGGAGAGAAATAAAGTACAGTAATCAATTAAGCAAAAAGAAAAACAGCAATAACTCCTATACAACAGAAATGTTTCAGGGATAAAAAGAAAAAAGAAAATATGAAGGGCATAATTAATAAAATACTAGCCATTATATTTGGAAACATTGCAAAAGATTCAGATTTCCCAACTTTCAGGCTCAATTTTCATGGGGACATTGCAAATAACAAACAGGTTAAGATACAATGTATATATTATTGGAAAGTCTTTTAGCTATACAATTTGGGATGAACACCCTTTGAATGGGAGCAGGAATGGATTTCCAGAGAAAAATTGCAGAATGCAGGAACCAGGAGCACTACTCAGATGACCCTGAGGACACAGATAAACCTCCAAGTGCTTCAACGACCCTCTAAAAGGATGCAAATGACCAGCTGTCTGCAAAGAATATAAATCCTTCCATTCCCCACAATCCTGTCAGAGCTGAAGAAGCTTCTTGGATGGGAAGTGAAACGTCTTCAAAGAAAAAAACAAGAATGTCCAGTTGCCTCCTGAAAAAGCACCTTTGGGACTCTCTTTCAATTCCACTCCCAAATTTGTTTAGCAGACTCCGCTGAACAGGTGTTATCGCGTTACCAGACTATTATCCATGTTCTCCAGGCCTCACCATCTAGAGTTTCATAAATTAATTCTAGCCTCCTTCATATGAGAGGCAAACCTTGGTTTGACACAGGTTGTTATAAAGCAAAAAAAATGCCCTTCTTACTGCAGTACTTACTTTTCTGACAGACAACTCATTAGGTTCTTTTTGATCATTCAGCATAAGAAATTTTATAAAGCACTTACTAAAGAACAAGCAGTAAGGCGGATAAGGGGAGACTATTAGGACCGCCAAGTGAGAAGGTTTTGTAAAAAGAGCCAGTTAAAATCTTATGAGACTTTAAGATCCAAACAGGCACAGCCTCCTAGATATAACATTTGTCAAAAAGAAGAAAGACTGCTTCATTGATATTGCTATACTGGGTGATGCTAGGATTGAGGAAAAACAAGTGGAAAAAATTAAAAATATTAGGACTTGCATATCAAGGTAAAACATTTATGGAAAAAGAAATCCATTATTTTACCATTTGTGATTAGAGCCCTTGGAACAATACTTAAAGGATTTCCTCCATAACTGGAATTAACAAATTTATTGGACCTGAACATCCTAATTTTGAAAAAAAGCCCACCTCATTCTGCTTAGAATTGTCTATATTATTAAAAGCTACCTTAATAAATCTTTGGGTTCTTGATGAAACATTATTAAGTTTCCACCAGTCTTTGAGTACAAATCTAACTGTAGGTTACCACACATAACAACACAAACAACAACACAGGACTTCATCTTCTACACTATGGAATAGATACAGACATCATTAATTTTCAGGAGGAAAGTTGTAGAAAGATGGGACAAGATTCTAAATACATGTCTAATAAGTCTCATTTGCTGAACCTGAAATACTTTCTATCAGTCAATCATTCTTCTAAAGAAAGTTCTTCCTGTCATGCACCCACAGGGTATGAATGAATGACAATCATCTCTATAACAGCCTCCCTCCCACCTTATGGAATACTTCCCTCTTCTAGAACTTTGTGCAACTTCCAATTTGCTACAGTTTGCACAAACAGGTTAAAGTTGTTTTATGCCAATGTGCTTCCAATTCCAACTGACTGACTGTGCATCCATCTGGGATTTGATCTTTGCTTGCTATGGTTTTGTTTTGGTAATTACATTTACTTATCCATTATTAAGCTTTTGGTGTTTTTTTCTTTTTCTTTTTTTAATGTTTTACTCCCCCACTCTCCCCCGCCACTTGAAGCTTTTGGGACAGGTTATAAATAAAGATTTGCCACACTTTAAAATGTTAGTTGATTACTTGGCAATAATTGTTTCTGCACCTTAACTTGGGTTTCAGTTGAAAATCAAATATTAGGAATATTAATCCAATTTTTCAGTGTCTCTGGCAACAAAAATAAGCCTTGAAGGAAAAAGGTCCAGAAAACTCCAATTTCCCCCTTCATAAGATTTTCCAGATTTTTATTGGGCCATCACTCTCAGAAACATATAGGTGATTAATGCCTTTTAATGATTGCAGCTACATAAGGGTCAGAGAAAAGAGGATTTCAAGTGCAAACAATGAGAGACAAACTATGCCCAGGCCTGGCTGATTGTGTGCTTCCCAGAAATCATCTGTGGCCACTCTTGAAGAAAGAATGCTGAAGTAGACAGACTTTGGTCTGACGCTGAGGGGCCATTTTTCTTGGGAGCAAATTACCTGTCATATTAAATGATTGCATTTAATATGTCTTTTGCTGTGGTGGTGGTTTAATTAAATAGCAAATCTACTCCCAAGCAAACTGCAACTCTGGGAAACGTAAGTGAACTTCAAGAACTTATATATATGCCTGCCCCCACCTCCTGCCCACCAACGGTGGCAAAAATACAAGAGAGTGAATATAGAACATTTTTTACAATCTAAAAGAATAAGCAATTTGGGGGCTAGAGAGCAAAATTTGACATTTTATTGAATGCCTTATTCCCCACTACCACCATTTGAAGTGACAGATATATCTGCTCTGCACAGTGGAGATCGAAAACACATTAAGCAGAAGTAAATTACAGACATAGCTGTATTAAGTTAAAAGTAGACTGTATTAGGTTAAAAGAAGTAGACTGAAATACTAACTAGATTACTGAGAAACAAGCAGTAGGTTTGAAAAAAAAACCTACCTATGAACATGCAAATAGTTAAGAGTTGTAAGCTTTTTTTTTTCACCCAGAAAAGGGAAGAGATATTTCTGGTCACCTGACCCATGCAAGAAACAAGTATTATCAGGGGAAATTGTTCTAACCATCTATGTAGTAGTCTAAAGTTAATACATGAAACAAGGGAATTCTTTTAAAGATTGCAATTGCTATTTACTGGATCACAGTAAATATTGCACAGCTTTACACTTTAATACAGCTACATACAATTATAATTAATAGTCATCTGCCCAGAATTTTAAAAATATTATCATTTTAAATAAGTGTGTGTGTGTGTGTGTTTCTTTATAATCATATTTTTAAAATCCTGCATTTTCCTTTTCTTTTTAGATTTTACGTCTTCAAACTTTTGGGGCCACTTCTTAATATAAGATTGTTATACAAAATATTTTCATTGGGGGAAATGTTCATGCCTACAACATCCTAAAAACAAAGATTAAATTTATTCATAATTTGGAGTAAAATGATAGCTGTCTGCTAGAACTCACTGTAGTAAAGACAGTTCTGCTGTTAGAATAGTTATCAGGCAGATTTTTTTTTTTTGTACCCGATTCTCACATTTCTCCATTTTCTCTTAAAAATTAATATTAAGACATTATTTGCATACATGTAGGGTAATTAAAGATCATTATATGTTCAAATATAAATACAATATATTGATATCTGCCATAAAAAAGTATTTGAGGAAAAAACCCACCCTGGATTATACAGCATAACTGTTGAGAGGTTTTCACAAGATTTTGAAAGATCTGACATGGACAAACTGAAGGAAGAAAGCAATCCACTCTGTTAAAAACAACAGAAAAGTTAATTGTTATTTAATTAACTGATTGATCAATTATATGCTATCAAGTTGGTTTTGACTCCTTGTAACTACATAGATAATTTCCTCCAGGACAATATTTTTTGCGTAAGAAAATTTTGGGGTGGGAGCATAAACATTGTACTTTAATCTCATTCAAATTATTGCACCAAGATCACTCAGGCACTTACGTTTAGAAGTAATGGAAGTTTATTAAGTATTCAATAATCTCACCTTTCTTTTCTCCCTCAGTTTGGCTGCTTCCTTGGGATGATTGAATCGAAACATATTGGTCCGCCCAAGTAATATTACAGCACCTGGCAAGAAAATCATTGAAGCCATAAGCAAACTAAAGGCAGAGATATTTCTTCAATTCAGACTAAAACACAATTAGTTTACTCCATCATGGAATGAAAAATACATTTTTTAGAAAATGAGCTGTAGACTGCCACTTTTAAAAATGAAATGTATGATGTTTGTATTTTAAGCTGGGTAAAATTGCTTACTCAGATATTTTAAGAACAAGAGAAAACCATTTATTGGCAATAAACTTTTATCCCAATTTAAAAGAAATCCTCCAGGCTTTTTGAAATGATTCAAGTGGAATAGAGTGTGTTTTAGTCATCATAACCATATGTTTTCTAATATTTATTTTTCAACAAACACAAAGAAACACAAATATATTTGAAAAGAAAAAATGGGTGGAAGCTCATAAAAACTCACACGGAGAGCATTGTTTTTGTACCAAATTATTTGAACAAATTGTACTATATAATAGCCACCATATCAATTGCTGTATTAACTGATCACCTACAGCAAAAGTTCGCAAAGACAAAATTTCTCACAGAGCAATCCATGATACTCTGCATCAGAAATAGTATTTCCTCCCATATTTTAATAATTACATGCAAAGACATACTCATAAAAGTTGAAAGGTCTTATTAATCAGCAAGACCACCCTCCCAATCTAGTTCAGGTACCTGCCTCAAGAAAGTGTAGCAAATCTTAAGAGATTTATGTGCCTATTTTCATAAGTATATCAAGCTTAACACATAACTACTCTTGACAAAATAGGATGAGTAGAACCAATGAATGAATAAATGAATAAATGAATAAATAAATAAATAAACATTCCCGCTATTCTTCACCCTCTGGTAAACTTCACAGGATTTTAGATGTTCAGTCACTTTCCTGCCATATACAGTCTGGAACGAATGAATGCATTCATTCAGAGGGCGAATGCATGCATGCAGAGGGCGGAGAATAGCAGAAATAATTGCATCTTATAATCCTTCCCTATCATGGAAGCTCTATACCAGAGATTGGCAGATATAGCCAACATAAGACAAATCTCGCACTAGATCCTTCAAGGCAACCATTTTGTATCAACTCTTGTGGCCTTCATCACTAGGTGGCATAAGACAGCAGTTCTAAACTGAATTTTACTAAGACTATAAATCAAATTTTAATTCATATTTTTGCCACAATGGGTTGAACAGTGGAGATCCTAACAGATGCAGCAACTTACTTTCCTGTCAGAGATCATGAGGAAATTAAGAGCTACTTACAGCATGGAACATCTCACATCCATTCCATGTTATCATCAAACAAATAGATTAATGGGAAAGTTGAATGAAACTTGGGGTCCATGTTTGAAAAATGTATAGGAGAACATTTCGACAAATTAGAACTTGATGTTGCCACAGCTTGTTTCCATGCAGGGCTGTGGTATAGCCTAGTCTGGAATTTCCTCTTGTGTACAGGAAGGAGAAGTCTGAATTAGTGCAGAGATTTCATTCAGATATATGCTTTATAAGTATTCTGACCATGATCAGAATGGTTTTTATTATACAATTATGTCTACTCTCTCACAATGAGGAGAGAGTAGATGGAAGTGGCAGAATAGATTGAACATCGGTGATCAAGAAGAACAAATACAACCATACATGAGCGCAGATCCAGGTCTACACTATGGCAATCAGAGTGGCACAACATTAATACTTTGCATTTATTGCTTCCATAGATTGTCATGCATTAGCCCTATTTAGAGCAATTCAAACTATTATCAGTAGGAAGATAGGTTTTTAGAGTGCTGTGATTATTTTTCCAAACATCCTGGGGGTGGGGTGGGGGGGGGAGAACCACATGCATATAGAAACTGCTGGGCAAGTTTAAAAAGGATGATAGACACAGAGTCTTGCCAAATTATTTGCAAAAAAATAAAAAATGAACAGGATCTTCTGTGACATCAGCACCACGGATTAGATATTTATTATATCTGGTTGGTGAAAACTGACAAAAGGTAACTTCATTTTGATGAAGTGCTTGTGGCTAAATGCATCCTTGAGTGATGAGATCATGTTAGCTGACTTGAAGAAAGTGGCAGTGCATCTTTTTTTCAACTTGCTGTTACTTGACCCAGCTATTAGCCTTTCTCCAACCCTATCTTTCTTGGAAATGTTCTTAAAAAGGCAGCAGTCCTGTAGTTACATGGTGTTATCGATGAAGCAAAATATCTAAATCTTTTTCACTTAGTTTCAAGCCAGGATGAGACATTGATTGCTTTTGCGGTGAACTGTGGTAGAACAGGGGATGGAGGGAGTATGGCCTTCCTGGTCCTGCTAGATTTCTGTTACCTTCAGTAATGAGCATGGTATACTTGTGAAGTCAGAATTGAGAATATGTTTTGCAGTAATCGTTTCTGATGGGCAGTTTCATTTGAGAGTGATGTATAGAAGATAGGTCAAATCTTGGAGATGTCCACAAAGGGGTCTCATGGGGCTTGACCATTTTAAGTCTAATTTCATTTCCATATGAGGTCAAAGGAGGGGGATAACTCCTCTTGGAATCACAGTTAATGTAAGGGGAGGTGGAGGCCATGGCCAGGAAGACTTATATGCATAGCTCTATATTGTGTACAAGTTGTGTTCATTCTAGGACCTCATAACTTTGCAAACTATCACTAATGCCTCTATTCCTTCACATTTGCTCTATATAGGGCTGCCCTTGCAAATCATATGAAAATTACAGAATGCAGCAGCCCTAAGGAATATCACCATTAAGAACCCTGAGGTGAGCCTAGCCTCTGCACCATCTGATTTTTTATAACGCTGGTGACATATTTGCTGCTGTTTTCTAAGACAGTCAAGACCTTGGAGGCTATTTGGGGATGGATGACTACTGACTTGCTCCTCAAGAAATAGCAATTGTTGTGAATTATGAGAAGTATGACTGTATAGTGGCTTATGATAATAATTTTATTTTTTGTGTCATTATTAATTTTGCTTTCATCTCAACTGTATTTTAATGCTAGACTTATAATAAATGAAGGAAGTTGCATGGAGTGATTTTATAAGCTTTAGCAAATGAATAAAAAAAAACTGAATTTATATCTTGAATCTGATCTGCCTAACCCATACCATACCATTGTTCCAAGTGAGTTAGCTTTCTATATTCTGCTCTAATTGAGAATAACTCAAACATTTCTTCTTGACTTGGAGAGATAAAAAATTATCTGGGGACTCAAATTAAAAACCTAGATTCCATTCTATAAATATTATGAACCATCGCATATATTGAAAAGAATGAAAATTAAACAGTTCAGCAGGGCAAGAGAAGCTGGGAAAATTAATTTTCAATATGAAAACAGAATACGGTTTACAAATGAGGAGGCATAAGATTTTCTGTGAAGTATCACCTAAGTGATCTTGAATATAACCAGGTAATTACATTCCGTTTGGTAAATTCTGTGTTCCAGCATAGTTCTGTCAATAGAGTTTATAGATAGAAATCAGTATCAAATGAATGTAATTTCCATGTGACACGGCTTACACATTTCTTCAAATACTTGTACTTCAGTTTGCCTTTATTTTAATGTAAATATTCCAATCCACCATAGAAATAAAAACGTAATAAAGTGTTAGGACTCTACTGCATCGATTCTTAGCGTAGAAGGATCTAGTGCTTTTTTTTCTTCAAAATTATACTAACAATTCTTACTAAACTTTATCCCAGGCTAATATTAAAGATTTACTGTTCATATAACTTCATGCTATTTCAATACTCTCACTGTAATTTATGTGATGCATTGGACTGGTTTTTTTTTTCAACTTTTGCAACTACTAGGTCTGAAGTTGCAATTCTAGCAGCTATGCCATGAAATAGTTTCTTTTGACTAACATATACTTGTTACTTAACATTCTTCTTGATCTGAAAGTTAAATTTTCTATATTCTTTTTGAAGGATATTCACTCAATCAACTGTTACAAATCAATGGGAAAAGTAATTCTATGTGGCACATTTATATTGCAATATTATAAAAATTTACATTTTACCAAGCATATACAGAATTTAACATGACTAATAGGTTTAAATATTTAGAAAACTTTGGTTGTAGGATTTATTTCTACAAACAAGTTAATTTTAGAGTAATTAAACAGTGCAAAAAAGTTATTTCAGTATTTCCAACTTTATTTGAAGGAAATGTCATTTTGATCTAAGTCAACTGCACAACCAAAAGGGATTTAGAGTTTAAAAATATTTGTTAAGGGCAGGTGATATGTGATACCAATTACATCCATACAATTAATATATGGTCTTTTTTGTTGTCTGAATAGTAAGTTAAGCATGAAGACTTTGAGATGTTGGTAAAATTAGGGAGGAGGAAGAGGAGTAGTAGTTGCTTAATGCTCATTGCCATGTAACTGATATAAACGTAATCCACTGTAACTGAAAATATATACATGATTGCCATCATAACCAGTTGCTGTGGGTCAGAATAGAAAACTGAGGTTTTTTTTTAGTACATTAGTACTGTAAATTCAAGAAGAAGCAGACCAGATTTTGTTACATATGTGCAACATACATAATGTCCTACTAATAGTAAGGGCACAATATCATTAAGTTATCATACAGTTTGGCCAACATACTGCAAGTACAACCAAAGTCCAAACATATGTTTTTTTACTCCAAACACATTTACATTATCCTATGTAATCTAGGTTTCTCATCTAAAGGCCACTTTGTAAGCCAAATAAACCACTTGTCAACTCTCAACACGACTCTAGCCGAAGCCATATGTTCTTTGCTTTGTGTCTTAGTTATCATACTTATGGGGGGTGGGGAGAGGGACTTATGGAATGTAGAATGTTTTCCTCCGATGTGCCAGATATAACAATGATAAGACTCCTGAGAACCAGGGCTAAATCAGCGTGCCCTAGCAACGGCAGGAGAAAGTGCTGAGAAGTTCATCACCTGCTTGGGTGGCTAATGTGACCTGTGACACGAGAGGGGTGGACGGTATCTATTATTTAATTATAACAAAAACATGGGAACATTACTCGGAACTATGACACACCACTGTCAGCTGCCCACTACTTACGTATATGCGATAAAATAAAAAAAACAGAGTAATATATGGATAACGAATGTGAATACAAAAGTGAAATATGACAGAATTTTTTCTGACTTCAGTTTTCTCATTCATAGCTCCTCTAGTTCTCTTTCATATAAATTACATGTATAGTACTTGCTTCATTGCATTGATCTTATATTCTGACTCTAAATTCTGTAGGTCAAATTTCATTAATCCTGTATATAGTTTCATGACATGAATAGTACAACATGTATTTGATTTAAAATGGCTCATTTTTGACAATTTCAAATTTTGCTTGGTTCATGCTTCTCACATTCTACTTTCCAACGATATATCTCCTACTAAAAGATGAAATTTTCTTTCAGTAGTGGATCCTTTGTTGATATATAATTTATTAGGGCTTTGTTCAGGCCATATTTCTGTCTTCAGATCTGCTTGTTAAAAGTTCAAACTTTCCCTCTGTAATTAGAGGAAAGTCTTCCAAATTGTGAGTCTTAACATCTGGCATCACTAATTCATCCAAACATTATAGACATAGGCAGAATGGAAAAAAAATGGTTTGCTATTCCAAGTTTGATTTTGAATTTAAAGTTCTCCTATATAAGTTGGTTTGTCTCATGTCTGCAAAGCCCACCTATCCTCCCTCCTTCTACCCTGTGGTAGATTACCCAAAGATCTCCTCCCTTTCGGACCTCACTAGAAGGATGACCTAGCTAAGAATTCCTATTCTTGCAAGCATCACTTTTACAGTCATTGATGCTATTGAACTCTCCCATCACAGCAAAGTGGTAATTGATGTTTTCAGAGCTTGGTTGTTTTCTTGCAGACATTTCAATACCCAAACTAGGTAACATCATCAATGCTAGTGGTAATTGCCTATCAATATCGCTTTCAAAATTAATGGTCATCACTACAACTTGGGAAAAAAAGGATATATATTTTTTATTTGAACTTCCATTCCTATATATTCTGATAAGGAATTCCAGTAAACACAGTGAAATAAATCAACAAATCACACTTTAAAGTCAGCAGAAGCTAGAATTTTCAGCCATGCCTAAAGTAACAAAGTGCTAACAAGGTAAGTAAAATGCAAGCAAGCAAGTCACTAAGGAATACACTAGATGGCTGGAAACATTTAATGCTGGAAATCAAGATATTTTGGTTTAAGTTATATCACATTTATTAGCTACAAATTCTTAGACATTGTTTGGGGTAAGAGTTCCATTGTGTTTAGGAAAGCATGATCTCTTTTGATCCACCCTTTATGGAATATTTTAATACACATATAAATAACCTAGTCAGTAAGGATAATCTTATTAATCACCCTGACAATAATATCCTAATGGGTTGTGGCTCATTAACTAACAATATAATATAACCAATTAAACAAAAGTAGATTTGCATAAGTCACAAAGAGGGCTTGTAAACCCACTTCCCCCTGGATATTGCTTATTGGCCCCTGGTATAAAACTGCCAATTAATCAATTTATGCTTTGATGTATTGTATATCCGTATCTGGTGTAAAAGTACTCCATGGAAAATAACATTTCTTCAATAGCAAATTTCATACCTTAGTTATATGCTAACTGATTGCCTAATATAGTTAAGGCATAAGGCTAAAATCGGCAGACCATAAGTTATAGTCCCACCTTGGCATGAAGCCAGCTGGGTGACCTTGGGCCAGTCACTCGCTCTTTCAGCCCTAGGAAGCAGGAAATGGCAACTCACTTCTAAAACCTTGGCAAGAAAACTACAGGGAATAATACACACACACACACAATTTATAGAAAGGAAATATTGTTTAGTACAAGGTTAGAAATTTTGGCTGTAACTTACTTTGAGATTTTTAAAATAGGGAGTAGAATAAAATTATTTAAACAACTATTTTTTCTGAACACCCCTTACTCTGTGACAATAATGGTCTCTGAATTCCCTTTCCTGTTTACTGGCTCTAAACCTGTACAACATTACTTATATGGTTCATGTTATTAGCAAGACTTTACTTCATTATCTTCACAATATAGCTCAACTCCTTCTTTGTCCAACCATTTCAAATTAATACTATTTTTCAAATGAAAGGGTACAGTTAAGCATGAAGAAGCTAATTAAAAATTTCTGACACAGGTATTTAAAGATCCTTAAATTCAAACTTAAAAATATTTAACAAATAGTTCTAATACACAAATCTTAAAAGCTAATAGCAATAACAATAGCACTTAGATTTATATACTGCTTCACAGTGCTTTACAGCCTGCTCAAAGTGGTTTAGAATCAGCATATTGCCCCCAACAATTTGGGTCCTCATTTTACCCACCTCAGAAGGATCGAAGGCTGAGTCAACCTTGAGCCTGGTGGGATTCGATCTGCCAAATTGCAGTAGGAATGGCTTGCAGTACTGCACTCTAACCACTGCGCCACCAAGGCTCCTTATATATGATATAAGCATTATATATTTAATGCTAATATATTATGAAATATGACAGTTGTCATTTGTCTATATTTAAGATAGTAGTCTTAGTGAATTCAGAATATGTACCGTATTTATCGGCGTATAACACGCACAGGCGTATAACACGCATCTTCATTTTAAGGGGGAAATTTCAGGAAAAAAAATTAAAAAAAATTCTGCCTGCCTGCCTTAGTTTCTGGTTGTTTGGGAGCAGCTTCGGCTGAGAATAATAACTATTCGCCTCTTTTACTCAGCCGAAGCTGTTCCGATTCAACCATTAACGAAGGCAGGCAGGCAGGCAGAACGGAGCACTGCGGGCGGGCGGACGGGGTGGGGGTGGGGGAGAAACGGGCGCTTCAGGGAAGCTGTGGCGACAGGAAAAGCCCCCCCCCCCGCTTCTTTGAAGCAGTTTCTTCCTGTGCTGATGGAGGAGCGAGAGAGCGACTGAGAGAGCTGACCCAGAGAGAAGGACAGGCTTCGGTTGCTTCCTCCCTCCCCTTCTTTCATTTGTGTCCTTGATCCCCGATCCCAGCAGCATTCACCGAAGGCTTCTTAACATTATATCGGCGTATAACACGCATACATCATTTGCCCCTATTTTCAGGGGGGAAAAAGTGCGTGTTATACGCCGATAAATACGGTATATCTTCTTCTAAAACATGTGTTCTCCAAGTTAAACCCATAATGTCATGAAGAAAAACAAAAACATGTCTCAATTTAACATACTTATATCATTGTAGAACCCTAAATTGCATAGTATTTCTTCTTATCCTCCTCAGCATGCAAATAGTAAATTTAAATAAAATAGTGTGAGGGTGTTCTATAAAGCCCTGAGAGAGAAATACACATTACAAATAGATGCATGCTATGTTAGGGGCTAACACAAGCATCTAGAATACCATAATCCAGCTGGAGATATTGATTTTGTCCGTAGATTAGTGAGGAAACTGATGAAAAGCCTTGCATTTCTCAGAACAACTGAATTCTTTAAAACAGGCAAAGCTATAGCAGTCTTGTAACCATTTATCTCCTTCCTTCATGTTAGTACTCAGAAGCCATGAGAAAGATTTTAGGATGAAATAAGAATGGTAAAGAAAAAATAAAATGGAACATCTTTTTTCAAGACACTACTGAAAATGAAATTGAGCAAACTGAACATTGCTGCAGGCACAAGTTTAGTGGAAACATTCAGATGAATTAAATGGGCCTTGCACTGTCAAATCTTCAGGGGACTGGGAAGGAATTGCGGTGGCTCCATTGTTGTTAACATCTGCCGCCATTTCTTAGTTTTTGTGATTTTTTTTCTCCAATAGTAATTATTTTTTTATATCTTAATTGTTTTATAGACTTATTGTACACGACCAGAGTCACTTTTTCATAAGGTGGGCAGCCCATATAAATCTTAATGAATAAATAATTAAAATATTCCCTCTCCTGATGTGAGGGTTAATTTCTTTAAGATAAGCTGGAGGTACTTGCATCTATTCCATTCCAATGTATAGCTAGGATGACTTAATTTCTGTTCATTTTGTGGAGAAATTATACCTAAGATACCTTGAAATCACAAACTGTTTTAATCTCCACTAAAATAAATTTCTACTATCACCAGTACACATACAACAAACACATTTTCTCACTATATTTAGTGAGAAAATATATATTCTCACTATATTCTTCATAGCCTGACAGTTTTCAGATGCACTGGAACTGAAAGCATGATGGCTGGTAATGATAGAAAATGCAATCTAAACACATTTGAAAAGCATCAGAGAAGACTGGATTGGACAAGTTCAGTACATGCATCTCATTAATGTATCATCGGTACAGCTGAACCTGCAATAAAATATGTAGAAGAGATCTGAAATGAGAAAAGGCAAAGAACTATCTAGGATAATACCTTGGTTGAGTTGTGTAGCCTCTGTGATTTGAATTCCATTTATAGAACATTGTGCTCCATCGAGCGGTATTAAATGAACCGTTCCATTGAAGTGTTCAAAAATGCAGTGCTCACTTTCCAAATCAAGACCATGAAGTACTAAACACAAAAACAGATTTGTAGTAACTATTACAATAGGATTTTTATTTTTCTAATCCTGAAGTTTTAATCTATTAACACTTATCCCATTAATTTTTAGATTTCATATTTTCTTTGCATTGCCTGTGTACAAAGAACGAATATTTAAAATAAGCAAGATAAGTAAACTGGTCTACAAAGAAGCAAAGAAATAGATCAAAATGTACACATTTTTAAAATAACAATTCAAACATGAAATAATTAGATATTAGTGGACACTGAAAATTATATTGTGTTAGACAGTCATATAGAGCAGGGGTCCCCAACCCCTGGGCCCCAGCCCACTACCAGGCCTTCAGACATTTGGAATCGGGCTGCAGAAGTGAGGGGAAAGCACACGCTCATCCCCACTTGTGTAAGCAGCAGGCAAGAGTGTGTGCACACACACTTCTTTTGCATGAGAGGTGGGTGCGCATGCCCACCACTCAGGGAGAACCATCCCCTCCCCGCCCCGGGGCAGTCTGTAAATCCAGAAATGCTGGGGAATTCTGATATAGAGAACCATGTATGATCTCAGTAATAATAAAATCATCAGCTTTACAGCTTCTTAAGTAATTTTGGCTTTTGTAACCTGTCCTATTTTGGAGATCAGTGCAGCTGTAACAATGATTAATTCCTGAGATATCATTAAGGCACTGGAAGTGGTCAAAGATAACTTGATCTTTGTTATGAATCCTAGGAAGAAATAAATTGTGCTAAGTATCATAATGTAAATATAGAGAGATTTGGTCCCATTAGCATGTAACATTGAATTCTTCAGAATTTGGGCTTGATTACAAAATGTATAACTCCTCCACCTAATAAGTGGTTAAGCATACTTGGAAGTCTTATCCATTCAGTTAAGCGGAAACAGCACTCTTATTCTTCTTCTAACATGACCAGCGGCTGCTCCTACTCCTTTAGTGTCTTCACTCTTTTTTAGAATCAGATGCTTCCCTTGTGGAATGGACAGAATGGTTCTTAAATGATACATCTGGAATGATGATTTTCAAATCAGTCTAGCCTGGTTTCAGACTCACAATTCATAGAATTTTCTCTGAAAGGTGTGTCCCAGCTTCGTACCTTTCTTTTACTGGGAGTCTTCAATTTATAATCATTTTTTCAGTAACTGTTCAAAGTTACAGTGATGCTGAATGAAGGAAGTTATGGGTGGTTCCTGAAGTTACACTCATTGCAACAACCCCCCCCCGCCCCGTCACATGATCAAAATGTGGGTGCTTTGCAGTCCACCTGCACTTACAACTGCAAGGGTGCTTTAATTCCCTCCAATCTTGTCCCTGTCTATGTCCTTTCGAACCCCTGCACTTTATATCCCCTGCTGCCCTAGCTGCCATTTGCCAACTTCTTACTTCTGTTGCTGACCAAGCATGTCCACCCTGG